TGGTGCCTTCATTAATTAGCCCCTTAAGTTCAAAGACAACATAGAGGTCTAAAATGGATCCCCTCCAATGTACGTGAAGATTCTATGAAACTAGATTACCAAAGCCTAATTAGAACTTGTGTAAAAAGCTTCACAAGAAGCAGATTACCGTCTTCTAAAGATTAGTGGGCTTCACAAAACTTTTGTCTTTAACTGGCCTTGGCAACATTTCCTCCTGCCTACGTCTTCCAAAACTTCTGAGCTCAGTGGTCTCTGGGTTACTTTCTGGTCAGGTATAGAAAGGACCTGGCTAATGAGAGCCACTTTTGAAGTAACAGAGGAGAAAGTGTAGTCTCACCAGTGTGGGGTCATGGAACCCAATCCAGATGTATGAGTAGCTGTTCACTATGTTCTTGACCAGAGAAGACAGGAAGGATCCCTCAGCCCCGTTGAGCACAGACACAAGGTGTCCTGAGGGCCGCTTCTGGCAGGCCATCTGTGTGTACAAGGGGAGAGAAAGAAAGAGAGCCTGAGACCTCATTGTGGGAGAGATAGGGCAGAAGTAAAGGAGAAGGGGTCTGCGTGAAACATAATGGTGTTCATCTTCATTACCAAGGAACTGTTAAGAATGAAGATGCCATTTCCCTGAGAACCACCTGCATTTCCCCTTATCAAAGAACCTACATTCCAAAACTCACATCTGCATCAAACCAGGATTTTGGTGTCATAAACAAGGCATAGCAATGGGAGGCATAGGCCACTGAGCCTTTGGGACAGCTGATCCTTGGAGAGGATGGTTTATTGTGGGAGTCTTCACCTGGGAAGATGGAGATAAAGGAAATAAAAAGTGAGGATTGAGTCAAAGAGGTAGCCTTGGTGTATAACTGTAAGTACTTGGAAAGTGAGACCATATTCTTGAGTACTTCTCACCTTTTAATAGTCTTTCAAGAATTCTTTTTTGTTTGTTTGTTTAAAGATTTTTGCTATAGGTTATGTGTGCTCACCAGGGAGACAAAAAGACAGAAAACAAGAAGCTACCCCTTTGCCGAGATGGCCACTCCACAGTTCTTTCTCCTCCATTTTCTTCTCGGGATTTTGGTCATGCATACACAGGTGCCTGGCATCTTTCAAGTCACTGAGTCTGGGACTCAAACTCTGGTTGACCACATGAGAGTCCAGCACTTTATGCCACTTGTTGGTCTCAAGAATTCTTAATCTTTAACCTGCACTAATAAATGAGGGAATCCTCTGTTTTCCTCATAGTCTTCCCATTTTTTCTACAGTCCAACTTCTCTTTCCTACCCACCTTAGACTCTGCACTGGGCCTTGTATCAGCCTTTCTGCCTCTCATGTCTCATCACTGACCCTTCATATTTTACCTGCAACCACCAACATAAATTAGAGGTCACTGAAAAAAATGGGAGACACCTCTTCCCATTGTTAATTAGGCAGTATGGTGCCTCCTACCACTAGTCACCCTGAAGGAGCAATGATGGAAGAATAGCAGGCATTTTCATTATGTGGAACACACTTCACCATTCCCACGTGAACACACAGGAAACTTCTTCCTCCTCTTGGCTCTGACCATTCTCAGGGAACCCAGTACTAGAGACAGAGGCAGCTCACCTTGGACCTGAGACAGGAGCACTAGACAGGAGAGCAGCATCCAGGACACGCTGGGGAGGGCCGTTGGGGACAGCATCATGCCTGTGACTGTAGAGGCAATCGAAGTTCAGCAAGGGACGAGTGATCAGAGGACATGCAGAGACCCACTGCCTCTTGCCTTTTCTTCTATGTAGTCTTTTAGGAACAAATTGGCCTTATTGACTCCCACTTTTCTCTTAGTTCTGCAGTGAATCAGGAAATCAACACACCCTGCCATGCCTGAGCCCTCCCGAGTCAGTCTTTGCTGAATCTCAGAGCCGTGTTCTCTGAGGACAGGAACTTTCCAGGACATTTCTCTCTAATGTGTGAGGTAAAGTCCCTTCTAAGGTCTCAGCTTCTCTCAGCTCCCACTTACCTGTCTTGCAGGGATCTGGGATGGTTTGGGTAGCAAAGTCTGGCCTTTTATAAGAGAATCTGAAGGTGGGACATTGAAATGAGTTATAGGAATACATAGGCTGACCAGCGTTATGCATACATTCAAGGACATTCCCACCAAGGGGAGGAGACTCTTCCTGGCAAAGGCTGGGTGTTGCCAGGGTTGTTGCCTCTTTCCTATTAGCAGGAAAGCACTTTCCCTGAGAACAATGATGTTTGCTCTTTATTCTGCTTCCTTTTTTAAAGAGAGATTTCTTCTATAGGTATGTGTTCTCACTGGAGAGACAGAGAAAGACAGACAGAAAGTGAGAAATCACTTTCCGGGGGGAAGAGGGCCACACCACAATCCCTTCTCCTTTATTCTCCTCTCGGGACCTTGGGCAGACACACACATGCGCCCAGCATGAGTTTAAAGCCTCCGGGTCCCTACTCGAACCTTGGTTGACTATGTGGGAGTCCAGTGGCATTACATTTATGCCACCTGCTGGTTCCTCTTCTGTATCTTCCTTCTTAGGGGTCCATAACATGAAATATAGTATTAATTTTTTAAAGGTGAACTTCCAAAGGAAGTGTGCTTTTGGTTGATTTTTCCAGTACTCACTTCTTTGGGCAAATGTATATGTTTATTTTTACCTTGTCTAGTTTAAGAGCTAGGAGTTAAATGGAGGTAAATAGAGGAATTACAAGTATCACATGTAGTTGAGGACATAGGAAAAACTGAATGTAAGATTAGGAATTGATGACTCAGGGTTGTTGCTTAATCTTTCTAGCTAAATTTAAAGGAAAGTCATAATTATCCAAAAAGTAAATAGGTGATCGAAGACGTTAAGGAAAAACATATGAATAAACTTACCTTGCCAACCACAAAGTGGAGCTTTCTTTTTTTTTTTTTTTTTCTCCTCTCGGGATCTTGGGCACACACGCACACCCGCCCGGTGTGAGTTTTAAGCCACCGGGTCCGGGACGCGAACCACGGTTGACTATGTGGGATTCCAGCGACATAGCCATTATGCTAACTGCTGGTCCCAGTGGAGCTTTCTTGATGGACAATGGCAATGTGATGGACAAAAAGGTACCAAAGGGGCACAACACACAGGTGGACTACAGTTAAACGATGTGGATCAAAGGAAGAATGAATAAGCATTAATACAGGGTCACAGCAGGCATAAATGAAATTGTAAACAGTTCTATGTTGCATGTAAATGAGACATATCTGCTGTGTCAAGATGCTCACACTTCCAGTAGTGTCCCTTTACAGGACTGTCATTTGACTATAGATCAAAAACCATTTCCATGGACCAGCAGGTGACGTAATGGTTATGTTGCTGGACTCCCACATAGTCGACCATGGTTCCAGTCCTGGACCCTGCTGCTTAAACTCATGCCAGGCTTGTGTGCGTACGTGCCCAAGATCCTGAGAGGAGAATAGAGGAAAAGAGATTGCGGCATGGCCTTCTCCCTAAGGCAGTGATTTCTCACTTTCTGTCTTTCTCTGTCTTTCCAGTGAGCATATGTACTCTCTAGCCAAAACCGCTCAAACACACACACACACACACACACACACACACACACACAAATACAAGCCATTACCAGTCTGGCTGCATGGGGTAGTAGTTAAGAAATTCAGATTGCATATGGTAACCAGGGCTCAGTTCCTGGTCCAGTGCTTGAGAAACATATCAATTGTATGTGCATGTGTGCCCCAAATCCTGACTGTATGGAGAAGTAAAGAAGGCACAGCGGCATGACCATGCTCTACTGGAGCTCTTTCGAGCTTGCACACCTGCGGCAATTAAAAAAAAAAAAAAAAAGCCATTTCCATTACATTCTTCCTGGGAGGATGGCCAGCTTCATTGGAATGTGCTGAGAAAAGTTCTTCCAGTCAGATCTGTGTCTAAGTTGGCAATTTGGCATCTGAAAGAAGCATGCTAGGCAACTCTTATACTGTGGTTCAGATTTAGTTTGACTAGTACTGGAAAAAGCCAGGCTGTAAATTTCTACAGACTCTATAGACTCTCATATATTATTATGAATCAGATTGTACACAGGTGTTTACAGTAGGGATTTGTGATGAGTTAATGCAATAAAGGTCATAATTAATTTACTTAGCACCCAAGAGCAAATAGAACACCTAGATAATTTAATAAAATATAGTCAACAATTCTTTTGTTTGAAATGTTTTTCAAAAATTGGTGTAAAATGCAATAGGCATTTCTATACTATATACACAAAACTATGTAAATGCTTACTATGGTGAAAAGTCAGTGACATTTTTTAAAGTTTAACAAATAATATGTCATACAAAGATGGTAGTCAAGATGAATTGGAGAACAATTGATGCATTAAAAATATCATCTGAGAAAAAACAAATAATAGCAATCACAAATATGGAAGCAAGTATGACTCGAATGCTTATAAAACTAATTATCATGAAGGATAAGTGGTTTTAGATTTTTTTTAAAAAAACCTAAAGAGATATAAAAACCAAATATAGCAAGTAAACTTGAATTGAGTCTTAGTTAATAAATGAACTTCTTTGGTGTACTGTTGGGGAAATATGAATATGGGCAAATACTTAGTTTTGCCAGACTTTTAAATTGTCTTTCTTATGATAACGATATCATAGTTAAATTTTTTTATACTCTTGGTATTTATGACAACATATTTAGAAGTAAAATATGGTATCAGCAACTTCAAAATTATTCAAGAAAAGTGTATGTGTGTGCACGCATGCTCAGAGAGAGAGATGAGTGAGTTGGGGAAAGGGAAACAATTAGTTTTTTCATTTATTTATTTATTCTTACATTTTTTTCTCAAACATTTATTTTACATATCAAAAACTTTTGCTCCTACTCCATAGTTCTTGACAGTTAATAAACAACTTTGAAAATTTCAAAATACTAAATTTTAAAGATAATGTTCAAAATATTTCTTATAATTTTGTTTGTGACTCTGTAACAACAGAAACAGTTACGGTTTTAAATATTTTTGAGAAAATATTTACATGTCAAATACTCAAATTGTTGAAAATCAAATGCCCAGCATACAAGTCACACATAAACCTTCTCAGTTCAGCTCTGCCTACCAGGTATTCTGATATACCGTCTGCTAGCAAAGATCAATCTCTTTTTCTTCCTTCAAAGTCTTTCTCAAGATAATCCTCTGGTGTGGTTGCTCTTTTGCAATCTCTTGATTACAATGCTGGACTGGAAAAATCCAGGTTATTGTATGTTATAAATTCTTTCATATATCTTCTCTAATTCTCTCTACCAGGCAGAACTATTTATGGTGCCAGGCCATCTTACTAAGAGCTTCTATTGGGTCATTTGAGACCCACCTTAATTCCATAGTTTTCTGATTAATCTTTGGGTATGACCTTTTAGTCAAAGCGCTGTCCAATGATAAGTATTTCCAATTTTTGATTCAATGCAACAAGCCACATTGAACTTATGCAAGTAACTCTTCTGCCATAAAATAAGGATAATCTCAAATATTTTCACATTCCGGAGGGTCAGGAAGAAAGATAAGTTTATGTTCGTATTTAAAGAAACAAAGAAGAAAAATATTGTAACAAATTGTTGAGTCTTTCCATATGAAAGATAATCTTGCTGGGTATAGTATTCTTGGTTGAAACTGTCTTTCACTTAACACTTTGAATATATTTTCCCATTCTTTCCTTGCTTGCATTGTTTCTGATGAGAGATCTGAGGTTAGCCTGATTGGATAATCTTTATAAGTAACCTGACATTTTGGATAACCTTTATAAGTAACCTGACATTTCTTCCTTGCCAATTTTAGTATCTTGTCTTTGTAGATTTGGCCATTCTGGCTGTGATGTGACTTGGAGATCTTCTTGGGTTGATTCTATTAGGGGTCCTTTGTATTTCTAGAGTCTGGATATTTGGAAAGTTTTCTTCCAAGATTTTATGGACTAGATTATCAATGCCCTTATTAGGGCATTTCTTCAACTTCTGAGATACTGATTATGCACATTTGGGCACTTAATGCTGTCTAATATTTCTTGTATAATATTCTCATTTTGGGGGGTTATTTTCTCAGGTTTTTTTTGGTTGTTTTTTCTAGATCAAATGTTTTTCCTTCAATATCTGAGATTCCATTTTCTGTATGGACTAATCTGCTTTTAATACTTTTGAGGGAGGTTTTGATTTCCTGAATGGTAGTCTTCATCTCTGATAGCTCCATTTGATTCTTTTTTATGGTGCATATTTCCTCTTTCATATCATGAAAGAACTTCAGCACCTCCTGGAACTCATTGTCTCGTTTATCTTGCATCTTCTGGAGTTCATTATCTATTATCTCTTACATCTCGTTTAGTTTTGTCACTGTGAATATTCTGAAGTCTCTCTATCAGACATTTCCATGAGTTCTACTGTACTGTCTGTAGATGGTGAGGGATTGTTCTTTTCCTTTAGGGGAGAGATATTTTCTTAGTTTCTCATGTTTCTTGTGTCTCTGTGGTGGTTTCTGGTCATTCTGTGACAAGATCTCTCCTCCACTTGTCTGAATGTTTTGGGAGTCTAGAAGATGGAGTTTAGAGCATAGCTTCCCTGGGAAACAAATATTTTTAAATTTGTTTTTATTTACTTGTTTATTTTTGCATTCCACTATTTTTTATTTATTACTTTTAAAAAATGTACATTTAATCACTGTACATCTTTAAAACATATAGTGTTTTTCCAAGCATGAATTCAGTACATATCAGTCAAATCAAATATTACCATATACATTATAATCAACAGATAACTTTTCATTTTTGTATCTAATAAATACACCATCCCCCACCACCCACCCCACCTATACTCTCTAGCATTCAAAATTGCCCTCTTGTCAGCATACCCTCCAATATATCAGTTTTTGCCAGAGAGTGCAGACATTTAGAATATATTTAAAGAGAGGACACACAATGCACGTCTTTCATAGTCTGGCTTGCTCTGCTTAACATTAAATCTTTCATATTCATTCACTTTGTATCAAATATCAGGGTCTCATTTTTTTCTTTTTATAGTCAAGTCATATTCCAGTGTACAAGTGCCACAATTTTTCAATCCATTCATCTGCTCTTGGGCATTTGGGGCAATTCCTTTCAAGGCATTTGTGAATAATGCTGTAATGAACATAAATGTGAAAGTATCTTTCGGACTTAGTGATTTACTGCCCTTTGGGTAGATACCCAGGAGTATAACTACAGGGTCAAATAGTAGCTCTATTTGTAGGTTTTTGAGGAACCTCCATATTGTTCTCCACAATGGTTGTACTAATTTACATTCTTGCCAGCACCATAGGAGGGTTCTCTTTTCACTAGCATATATCACTCTTTTTTTTTTTTTAGTCCTAGCCATTCTGACCAGGGTAAAGTGGTATCTTGTTGTGTTTTTTATTTTATTTATTTATTTATTTATATTTCATTTTCTTCCATACATTCAATCACATTATTATTTGTCTTACAAAATGGATATTTCAATAGGTGAACATTTCTCCCTTGTACTATTGATAAAACTACAAAATATCTTCAACAGATAATACCACACCTCTTTGTGCCATTAATGCTTTGCCTCCCTGTCCCTCCCCCAAATGTCCTTCCTCAGACCCTCCTTTCACACACACTATATCTGGTATTTACATTTATATACTGTGTTTCTATATCCTTTAGACAATTAGTTTCAGTCATAGAGTGCAGCCACTCGGTATATATTAAGTGGGGACATACAATGCCTCTCCTTCATAGCATGGCTTGCTTCACTCAGCAGTAAGTCTTCTATATTCATCCACTTCCTGTCAAAAGTCAGGGTTTTGTTGTTGTTTATGGATGAATAGTATTCCATTGAGTATATATGCCACAGTTTTTCTAACCATTCATCAGTTCGTGGGCATTTGGGTTGTTTCCAAGACTTAGCAATTGTGAAAAGTGCCACAATAAACATCGATGTGCAAGCACTTTTCCAATTAAGTATTCTTGGTCAAGTCATATTCCAGCGTACAAGTGCCACAATTTTTCAATCCATTCATCTACTCTTGGGCATTTGGGGTAATTCTTTTCAAGACATTTGTGAATAATGCTGTAATGAACATAAATGTAAAAGTATCTTTCGGACTTAGTGATTTACCACCCTTTGGATAGATACCCAGGAGTATAACTACAGGGTCAAATGGTAGCTCTATTTGTAGGTTTTTGAGAAACCTGTCCTTTGGGTAGATACCAAGGAGTGGGATTGCTGGGTCATATGGTAGTTCTATTTGTAGATTTTTGAGGAATCTTCAAATTGTTCTCCACAGTGGTTGGATCAATTTACATTTCCACCAGCAGTGTAAGAAAGTTCCCTTTTCAGGGAACCAGCAGTTAACATAATGGCTATGTTGCTGGACTCCCACATAGTCGACCGTGGTTCGCGTCCTGGACC